TTCTCAAATCTGTTGTTGAACACCTTTAGTGAGTTTTTAAAATTTCAGTTATTGGACTTTTCAACTCCAGAATTTCCATTCGTTTCTATTGTTCAATAGATTATTTTTAGAGCAGTTTTGGGTTCACAGAAAAATTGAGTGGGAAGTACAGAGAATTCCCCTACACCTCATACTCCCAAACATGCCCAGCCTCCTATACTATCAGCATCCTGCAATAAAGTGGTACATTTGTTACAAGCGATGAATCTACATTAATACATCATTATCATCCAAAGTCCATAAGTTTACATAAACATTTACTTTTGGTGTTGTACCATCTATGGGATTTCACAAATATGTATAAGGATGTGTATCCACCATGATAGGATCATACAGATTAGTTTTCATGCCCTATAAAATCTTCTGCACTCCACCTTTATTTCTCCCTCCTCAAGCCCCTGACAACCACTCATCTTTCTACAGTTTCTATAGTTCTGCCTTTCCTAGAATGTCATATAGCTAGAATCACACAGTAGCCTTTTCAACTTAGCTTCTTTCAGTTACTAATATGCATTTAAGATTCCTCCATGTGTTTTCAGACTGATAACTCATTTCTTTTTAGTGTTGAATAAATTCCATTGTTTGGATGTACTGTAGTTTATTCATCCATGTACCTACTGAGGGAAACCTTGCTTGCTTCCAAGTTTTGGTTCCTTCTTTTACAACTTCTATCTCCTTATTCATATTCTCATCCATCGTTGTTTTTCTGATTTCCTTTACTTCTTTGTCCACAGTTTTCTTTAGCTCATTGAATATATTTAAGACCATTGATTTGACATCTTTGACTAATATTTCTAATGTCTAGACTTCTTCATTGATAGTTTGTGTCAAATTTTTTTTTCTGTGAATGTGTCATATTTTCCTCTTTGTATGTTTTGTAAGTTTTCTGAGAACTGGACATTTTGAGTATTATGTTGCAGTAATTCTAATTCTCTCATTCCTCAGGAATAATTGTATCTTGCTTGTGGATGGCTGGAGTCCATTTGTGGCTTTTCCAAACTACATTCGAAAATGTGTGTTTATTGCGTGTGGTCACTGAAGTTTCTGTTCCTTCATCTCTGCAGTCAGCCAGTAACCTGACAAAGATTTCCTTAAAAGTCTGGCTACCAAAGGGGAGGGAGGGAAGTACTATCTCTTTAAATCTCCATGGAACACTTGGGGTGCCTGCGTGGCTCAGTCAGTTAAGTGTCTGTCTTCAGCTCAGGTCATGATCTCAGAGTCCTGGACAGAGTCCTACATCAGGCTCCCTGCTTGGTGTGGAGTCTGCTTCTCTTCCTCTGCTCCCCTGCCACCCCCCGCTCTTGCTCTCCCTCTCTCCCTCTCTCTCAAGTAAATAAATAAATAGTCTTTAAAAATATAAATAAATCCCCATGGAAGCCACTTCAGCTGATGGGGGTTGAAACAATGGCCACCAGCCTGTGTGCTACCCTCTCACTGATCAAAAACAGCAAACAGCAGTCAGAACCGATAGTCCCAATATTTGGAGGACAAGGTCCCTATTGCCTATCTAGATTCCAGCAAGTTGGACCAGCAATATGACCAGTTGCTCCCACTGCTGCATACATGGGGCTGGAGACTGAGGAATGGTAGCCACCACCACGAAATAGGCTGAAATGCACCAAAATTCCAAAAATTGACCAGTATCTTCATCCAGCTTTCCCCTGGATAAGTCCAGAGTTCCACAACAGTTACTCAAGAGGGTTGCTGCCTGCTCAACAGCTGTTAGGTGGAAAGGCAGGTTACTGGAACTTCTACTCTGCCTTCTTCCCAGACATTGTTCTTACGTCCCAGTTTCGATTTGAGATGTCCATGGACTTCCCCAAAAAACTCCAAAACTCTGTGAGTAACCTGCTTGTTCTCAAGATGGTTTTAGAATCTGCTCTTAATCTTTGGTCCTCCTAAATTTTATGATGATGGGTCATGGCTTGTGAGAATTTATTATGTCAGACGCCTGACTGGTTCTTTGACTCTGGAAGCTATATCCTAGAAATCTGTTTTCTCTGGAACTCCCATTAGTGAATCTTTGGACTTCTTGAAATAATTCCATAATTTTCATATTTTTTTTCTCTCCTTATTTTTTGGGAAATTTCTTCAATTATATCTTGCAACCCTCTTACTGATGTTTTTATTCTGGTTATTATATTTATAATTTCTAATAATTCTTATTTGCCTTATGCATATTCTTTTTTAAAGATTTTATTTATTTATTTGACAGAGAGAGAGAGAGAAAGAGAGAGAGCACAGCAGGGGGAGCAGCAGGGGTGGGGAGAGGGAGAAGCAAGCTCACTGAGCAGGGATCCCGTTGTGGGGCTCAATCCCAGGACCCTGGGATTATGACCTGAGCTGAAGGCAGACCTTAATGACTGAGCCACCCAGGTGCCCCAATTCTATGCATATTCTCTTCAAAGACAGTACACCATTCCTTTTCATGAATGTAAAAATTCTCCTATCTTTCTGAGGATATCAGTTGTTGCTGTTGTCACCTTTTAATTTTCTTCTATTCTCTGCATTTTTCTCTCTTGGCTCCCAGCATGTTCTTTCTCTCCACTTCGTTTGAATTCTCTTCCATGTAGGGTGTGTGCTCAAATACCAGGTGACATGTGCTTGGTTCTTGGTTCACAACTTAGACTGAGGCAGAAACAGCTGATCAGAAATTCTGGGTAAACAAATGAGGTTGTTAATGTAGAAGCTTTGCTCTCAGATGGTCAAGCAGAAAACTTGGTCATTTTCTAGAGAGCATCTCCTAGTCAGTGCCTTTAGGTCTTTTCCTTTGGATCAGTTTTTCCAGAGTCTGCTGACTTCCTGCCAGTTGCAGGATGGGGAAGGAGATATTTTTTAAAACCTGGCCACAACACTCCTTAGGTTGTGTTTTGGAGAGAGTGGACCTTATGGCTACCCTCAGCTATGTCGGAGAAGACCACTAATCTTTTGCTTGGGTTGTCAAGAGGCCGTTACCTGTCTGGGGATGGGATCTGGTTGGGGTCAAGCCTTCTTTATACAAATTTCCAACCAGTCTTCCTTTCATTGTTTTGCCTTCCCACCCCCAACTGTCTGAGATACTTGGTGCGTCCAATTCCAGAGACTTCCTAGAGTTCCATGGCTCAAATCATCTTCCTTTTCCCTGTGGGCATCAAAGGAGAGAGATCTTTATCTGAAAACAGTCCCAGTTCACATGCTTTCTGTATCCCAAAAATGTTGCTCACATCTGTCCCCTGCTGCAGTAACTTTTTTCCATTCTCTTTCTCTCTCTCTCTCTCTCTCTTTTTTTAAAATTTTATTTATTTATTTAACACAGAGAGATATCACAAGTAGGCAGAGAGGCAGGCAGAGAGAGAGAAGGAAGCAGGCTTCTGGCCAAACAGAAAGCTCAATGTGGGGCTCGATCCCAGGACCCCGAGATCATGACCTGAACCGGAGGCAGAAGCTTAGCCCACTGAGCCACCCAGGCGCCCCATCTATTGTCTTTCTCTTTAAGGACAAATATCTTTTTCTTGTCCTTTTAGTAGGGTTTCAAGAGGGAAGGAAGATAAGCCCCCGTGTTTAAGCTGCCACATTAAACCAGAAACCACCAGTCTCTTCTCGACTTACTTTCATTAAAGAGTAAACAAACAGACCTGCAAAATGTTTAAAAGGAGAGATTGTTGGTGAAGCTAATATCATGAAATCAGGCAAAAAATTGTAGAAAAGTTGAGGCATTCATATAATGGAAGACTCAGTAATACAAAATAAATGACAGAGCCTCGACAGAGATGTGTCTCAGATATCTTGTGGAGCCACAAAACCAGACACAGAAGTTCAAGAATGGGCAATATTAACAACCTACAGTGATAAAAATCAGAGTAGAGGGGCGCCTAGGTGGCTCAGTGGGTTAAAGCCTCTGCCTTCAGCTCAGGTCATGATCTCAGGGTCCTGGGATCGAGCCCCGCATTGTGCTCTCTGCTCAGCAGGGAGCCTGCTTCCCGCTCTCTCTTTCTCTGCCTGCCTCTCTGTCTACTTGATCTTTGTCTGTCAAATAAATAAATGAAATCTTTTTAAAAAAATTAATGGCTGAAATTCTTTTTTAAAAAAAATCAGAGTAGAAGTAACCTCTGAAAGTATTAGATGGAAGGCAATCCAAAGGAGTCTTTAGGGGCAAGAAATGTTTATAAATTGAACCTTGATGTGGGTTGTAGTGACACAGGTGTGTACATATGGAAAAACTCATCAAGCTGTACACTTCAGATGTGTGCACTTTACACACATCATTGTGTGTGTTTCATACCTCAGTAAAAATGAAAAAGGGAAGTAAATAGATACTTATTGAATGCTTGCTATTTGCTAGACACTGGCTAGAGCTGCTTTTCTTTTTACTCAGTTAATGAGCACCAACTCCGTCCTGGTTCTGAGAACCCAGGGTGAAAAAAAAGTTAAGAGTTCTTGCCTGCATGGTGCTCACAGTTAATCGGGGAGACAGTATCCAATAATCACACTTATAAAAATGAAGTGAAAACAGTGACAAATAAGGGGGCACATCACTGTTCACAAAAAGGGGCATGTCGTAATCCGAGAAGAGAATTGGGATTTCCTGAGGAAACAAAATTTTAACAGTGGTCTAAAGGATCAGGAGAAAATAACCAGTGGAGGAGCATTTTATGCAAAAAGAACAGCATTTTGTGCAAAGGTACTGTGGTAGAAAGAGGCACATTTAAGGGGGCAAAGAACAGGGCTGAGAAAGGCACAGATGTTGCGAGAGAGGGAGGCTCAGAACAGCCATATCACAAATGGGGAAACTGAGGCTCAAGGAAGTAAGATGGCTGCCGCAGGTCACCCAGCAAGTGCAGTTGGGGTTGGAAGCTAGCTTTGTCTGGTTCCCTCTGCTTGCTGAGACAGAGAGTAGGAATGTGAGTTGGAGTGGCTGTCTGGGTTCTGACCTGCAGCAGGATGCCTGCTGCCCTCAAGGTCTCATGCTCCTTGCCTCTCAGCTCCACAGGGCTTGTGAAGGGGGATGGCCATGGAGCTCTGCCCTGAAGAACAGTACTGGGATTCTCTGCTGAACATCTGCCTCTCCTGCAAACCTATTTGCAGCCATCAGTTTCCACGCACGTGTGCAGCATTCTGCAGTGAGTTCTGGGGCTCAAGTCCCATGGGCTGAATCACCCCCTTCCCCCACTGCCAGAGGTCCCTCAGTCCCCATTGCAGTTGGGTGGCTGAGAAGGAGGTCGTGAAAGGAGATGTACAATGTTGCATCCTTTTACCCCTCAGTCTTTCTGCTCTGGTCACACTGACCTCCTTGCAGCTTCTTGAACATGCTGTTTTTTCCTGCCTCAGGGTCTTTGCCTATGTTGTACCTTATGCTTGGAATGCATTTCCCTGTTAAGGTTCCTCAGCTCCCTCCTCAACCTTCAGGTCTGAGGCCAAATGTCAGAGGTCTTATCTGACTGCCCAATAAGAATGAGGACCTCCTTTGTCATTCTCTGTTCTGATTGTCTTTTGGAAGTTTTTATTATAGGAATTATCACAGAGAGGATAAAATAATAAATTCCTATCTACCCATTATTAGTGTTAAAATTTTTGCCTTTTTATTCCCCAGCCATTTTCTTGCTTGTGTATTTTATTTTAAAGATTGTATTTCTTTGAGAGAGGGTGAGAGAGCACAGAGGGAGTAGGAGAGAGAGAAGCAGACTCCCTGCTGAGCAGAGAGCCTGATGCAGGGCTCAATCTGAGGACCCTGGGATCATGATCTGAGCCAAAGGCAGACACTTAACTGACTGAGAGTATCTCCACTATCCATTAATGAAGTAGAATATCCACAAATCACTCCACAAATATTCATGGAACTCTCTAGCTTCTTGAAAATAGGAAACTGACATGATTCTTCAAGGGAGTTATCACCTAATGGAAGAAATAACTACATTTCAAATGAGAAAGATAAAGTATCATAAAATGCTACAGTTGGGAAAGACCACCTCTGGCTGATGGGCTGGGGGGCAGGGAAGTATTCTTGGAGTAAATGCCACCTGAGATAAATTGTTTAGAGTTTGTAGATGTGGCAGTCAGATGGGGCAGGGCAGGGCAACCCTGGAAGAAGGACCAGTGTGGGCAAAGGCATGGGGATGGAAAAACACAACAGGAAATATCAAGGCCCAGAAGGGAAGTTCATGAGGTTAGCAGTGAGGCTTGGTGGTCTGGGGAGCTCAGACACCACCTGCAACAGCCACACTGGGGGCCTGAGGAGGGAAGGAGGTCACACATAAAACCCTGGAAACACCACTGTCATCCTGTCAACTCTTTCTCATGAGTGGCAATGGCAGTGGTCCTATGTGGCTTAGTAGAACCCTGGGGCAGAGCCAGGGCAAGAAGAGATCACTGATCCCATCTGAATCTTCCCTGAGGTCCCAGTTTTATCATCTTCCTGGTCTTTTCCTCTACTCTTTTAAAGACATAAGAGTTGGTGTCTTTGTGTTGCAAAGAGGCACAAACGAATATTCTACTCAGACCTTCCATTAACCCAGCATTTACTTATTATGTGTCAGACACTGTGCCAGGAACTTCAAATCCTCATAGTAACTTTAAGAAATCAACCTTTGTCTTGGAAATGTGGGAACTGAGGCACAGAGAGGCTAAGACCCCACAACCTCAATGGGTAGACTAGGGATGCTCTCAAATCTGTTTGGCTTAAAGGCTATGTTCTTACCCTCTATCTTGCACTGCCTCTGAAATGTGCCCTTAAAATCCCCTATGTGAGTCACATTTTCATATAAATAGAATCTTATTTTAAAGACAAGGGAAGCTTGTCCTGTGAAAGTATAGATTTCTGTTACGCACTCAAAATTGCTCTCTTAACACAAGTATGGTTGGGCCTTAGTGTGCCTGGCTTCTGCTCCTTGGCACTGATGTCTAAGCTCTTATAATTCTCATTCATTAAGACAGAAGAAATGCTATTAGTGTGAGCTTTCCCATCTTTCTTCCAACCTCCTCCCTCAAGCTGCCAAGGTGGTTGCTGGCTTCCTCCTCCAATCCTTATGTTAATATGAACTATGTTTTTCCTTTATGAAGTTTGAAAAATGCAAGTAAAGAACTTATGTGATAATGTAATAACCTAGATTTCAATTTTAAAAGATAACTAGAAAATTCTTATATGTTTAGAAAATAAGGGGGTGCCTGGATGGCTCAGAGGGTTAAGCCTCTGCCTTCGGCTCAGATCATAATCTCAGGGTCTTGGGATCAAGCCCTGCATCGGGCTCTCTGCTCAGTGGGGAGCCTGTTTCCTCCTCTCTCTCTGCCTGCCTCTCTGCCTCCTTGTGATCTTTCTCTCTGTGTCAAATAATAAATAAAATCTTTTTTAAAAAAAGAAGAAAATAAGAAATGCACTTCCAAATGATCTATAGGTCAAAGAAGCAGTAATAATGAAAAGTAAAAATGTTGTAAATAGTATAGGAAAAATATACATATCAAAGTATATATTGCGGCTAAAATGGTACTTAGAGGACAATGGATAGCCTTTCATTTACATATTGGGAAAGGACTTGCATTACTCTGGAATTACCTTTGGGGATTTGAACTGTGATTTTTTTTTTTTAAACTGTGATGCCCTTGAAGGCCAGCTTCACAGGGCCTGCAGATCTCTATCATCTGATAACATCATTCATTTCTGCCCCCCAGAGTCACTCAGTTGCCGCAAGGAGGAAGACAGGTACTATGATCAGCTCCTGAAGGATTGCATCAGCTGTGCTTCTGTCTGTGGACGTCACCCCAAGCAGTGCACATACTTCTGTGAGAACAAGTTTAGGAGCCACGTGAACCTCCCACCAGAGCTCAAGAGACAGCGGTCTGGGGAAGCTGAAACCAGGTCAGATGACTTGGGAAGGTACCAGGGAACAGAGCACAGAAGCTCAGAGGCAGGCCCAGGTAAGCCCTCTGAGGTTGGCTTGATGGTGTCTGAGGGTCACAGTGGGTGGAAGGTCAGGTGCCAGGCCTAAATAAGGACGGTCTGCAAAGCAGGACGTCCAAAGTCCAGGCAAATGGCCAGAAGTCAGGGGAGGGTCATCACAGGATAGAAAAAAATTTAGGCCAAAATATTTAGAAGTCTGTGGGCCAGAAGAATGCAGAAGGAAAAGAAGGTGGACTTGCTGAGAGGTGTAAGTGAGTGCATGAGCAATGCTGAGCTGGGATTCAGGCCAAGTTGATGGGTCCCAAAGTTTACCCACTCTGCAGGAGCAAAAGACCCAGAGCAGCGTTCATGGGATTGTCACTTCCTGAGGGTAACCTGCTGCCTCTGGGACATGATTAGCTATTGCTGTTTGCAGCTCCCAGTCAAGCTTATCCCTGGAGGGCAGCAGGTGGAATCCGGGAGCCTCATGTTGGCTCCAGGGCTACATCCCAGGATGTGTGGATAGGGGTATGTAAGGACATGGTGGGGGGTCAGGGGGGTCAACAGGGCTGGTCATGCCTGAGCCCGTGGCATTCGCTATCCCACTCCTACCACAGCATAGCCAGGGACACCGCATGCCTTCCCAAGGGACTCCATGCCTTAATGACTGCGTGGCTGTGGTCTGAGTCTCCCCAGAGGTCTGGGGCTTTGGTCCATTCTCCTCTGACCCCTGGTGTGCTGGTGCGGTAGAGGCTGCACCTGGTGTGGACCAGAAGCAGGCAGTACCAGGGCCACACCCCTGGAAGGCCAGGTGGGGACCTGTTGGAGAGCATGGTCTGGGGGCGCCATGGGACCAGGCTGCCTCTGGCTGCTGCTGTGGTGGAGCTGGTGTGATCCCGACCACCTTGTGGGCTCCGAAATCCCGCCATCCCCTGCTAAGTCCGCATCCCTGCCAGACCTCCCCGCAACCCCACCCCAGCTCTTTCTGCAGTCCTTCCAGACTGTCATTCCTTCATCGGACACATAACTGTGAGGGTTTGCTGTGCGTAGGCAAGGTGGCAAAACCAGGTAAATCCTGTCCCTGACCCAACAGAAGCTGCAGTCTAATGATAGAGACAGACAATGCCTGACTTGGGCAAATGAGACGTTAATCTCAGTGTGTGGTGGCAACACAACCCAGCCAGGGGTGTGATGGGAGGCAAGGTAGACTAGGGTAATGGTGGAGGCCATGGAGCTGGTCCCGGGTTCCAGCCCCCACTAACTGTGTGATCTTGAGCAAGTTACTTAACCTGAGCCTTGATTCTATGCGAATGAGATCATATATCTTTATGGAGTTGTGAAGATTATAAGAGAACACTCGTCAGGGTCTGTGAGTACCCACCAAACCTACGTAACTGCTCGTGTCAAAGGAAACTGTGTGTAAGAGACAAGGTGGGGGAAGGGCTTTCCAGGCAGAGGGAACAGCATATACAGATGCTCTGAGGAGTTAGGTTGCTGTGCCATGAAGGGGGGACAAGAGCTTTGTGCTACAAGGCAAATCAGAGGAGACTGACACTAAGTCCCTGCGTCAGGGGCTCCTAGCCTCGGGAGGGACGTGGTGGTCACTCTGCCAAAGCAGGAGGGACCCCTCCCCCCCGAAAGTGTGAACACTTTGGCTGTTGAAATTGATGATACTACACACTGGCCAAGAGTGTACCCAGTAAGGCTGCAGTGACAATGGCCTGAAAGCAAGGGGAGGGAGCCTGCCTGGGGTTTCGTGGCCAGGGGCGAGAGGTCCCCGGTGCAGGGGGACATGCGTGGTTGGAATCTTCTAGAGGCTTGAGCCCCTGGACTTTCCAGTCAGCTTGCCCCATTGTGGGCCAGAGTGGGGAGCTCCAGGTCAACATTCGGAGTCTGGCTGTTAGCGCCAGGGAGATGCGCAGGGGTAAGCTAGGTGGAGGGAGTGTCTGTTTCTCCCTGAACAGATTTCTTGGAAAGGGGCAGTGGGCACCGGAGTCAGGGGCAGGGGGAGCAGCGGAGCATCCCGGGGCCCTGGGAGAGGATCAGATGCGCTGATGTGCTCCTGGAGGCAGAGGCAGCCACAGATGAGAGGGTACGGACTGGGCTGCAGGGGGATCCCCAGAGCCCCTGAAGGGTGGACACTGGCGAATGCAGCAGGGGCCCCTAGACCCTATTTCTGGCAACAAAGGAGGCCACTGATGACAAGGACCCAGATGGTCCTCAAGGGGCGGTGTCCGTGCACAGGCTGGGTGGGCTGCAAATGCCCTGGGTATGGACAGCCATGGAGGCAGCAAGCACAGCAGGGCTGCTCAGGTTCTAGGATGACCAGCACCAGGGGAGCCCTTCTGCAAATAATTCTAGAAGTGCATCCAGCAAAGCACATAGGGTTACAGAGAAACCAAGGATGCTGATATATGATTCTCAGTAGCATCTCGAAACATGAGATTGAAGTAAATATTAAATCAAAGGATTACCAAAGTATTGTGCAAACTGGAAGGTCGGGATGAATCTTGGAACTCTGTGGAAGCTTCAAATGGCATAACGGAGCGGTGGACTGGGGGACAGCGGACCTCCAGCCCCCAAAGAGGGCAGGCGGACAGCGCAGCTTGCGGGAGCGACTACGTGGGGTGCACAGATACCCCGCACTGTGCCATGGGCAAAGCCATGTTCCTGCTCCCACCACCCGGGGCTGTGGCCTCCGCGGACAGGGGAAGCAAAGACTGAACCTCAACAGGCCGTCAGTGAAGCTGAAAACATGCCTTTCTCAGCCAAGTCCACGGAGCCCCCAGATTCTATCCAGGGGCCTCCTGGGTCGCAGTTTAAGTGCTCCAGGTGTGTTGGGAACAGGGCCCCACCAAGCCTGCCGGCGCCTGGATCCAGGGAAGCTTCTGGACCACTTGTGCCTACCTGTCCCCACCTGTAACGATCATGACAGCACCGACCTCACGGGCTCCCCTGAGGCCTCAATGGCTCTGAGATTTGGAGGCACGGGGCCTCGTCAGTCGGGAAGAGCGGAAGGTGGGTCCCGTCCTGGGCTGGCCGTGTTAGCTTCCCGCAGCTGCTCTAACACCGTGCCACGAACTGGGAGCTTAAAACCACACAAATGTCCTCTCTCAGCATTCTAGAGGCCGGAAGGCTAATATCCAGAAGTAGGCAGGCCTGCGCTCCCCCCAAGGCTCTTGGGGAGGCTCTTTCCTTGTCCCATCCCGCTTCTGGTGACCCCAGGACCGCCTTAGTCTGTGGCGGGCACCCTCTGGTCTCTGCGTCCATCTTCGCACAGCCTCGCCGTGTGTCTGCCTTCTCTCCTTTTCCTATAAGGGTGCTTGTCACTGAATTTAGGGCCCATCCTAATCCAGATGATCTCTTTTTGAGATCCTTAACTTAAATACACAACGTTTTTTTTTTCTTCCCCCAAATAAGGTCATAGTTGCTGGTTATGAGGGGGCACTTCTTTGTGGGGAGGGAAGGAACCAGGGTCAAGGGAGGGAGAACCAGAAGGACCAAGAGCTCCAAGTTGGGTCTCCCCATGGGAGGGTGATACCAGCCTCGAGGGAAGCCAGGACCTCCACACAGGTCCAGACCTCTGGGGAGCATTTCACTAGAGAACTTGGATTTCATGGCCTTATGGGGTAGCAGCTATATTTCCAAGAACGGAAAAGATGCCCCGGGGACCCAGGAGGTGTGCACAGAAAAGGACTGAGAGGGAAATTCTATGGGTGGTGGAAGGGGGGGTCTGCCTCTGAGGGGTCAGAGAGGGTCCCCCAGACACACTGGAAAGGAGCAGTCAAGGAGGTCAGAGCAGAACCCAGAGGGCTTTATGTCCACAAAGGCAAATAAGGAAGAAAGTTCTGGAAGGAATAGGTCCCAGCACAGAGAAGGTTGCAGATGTCCAGCAGTTCTGGCCACAAAGAGGCCAGAGGACCCTCTGAAGGGCCATTTTCAGGTGTCCATAGGTGGAGGCAGTCCTGACCTGAGGAAATGGTGGGGGGCAGGGCAAGGAGCCCCTCTCTCACTGTTCCAGAGGCCAAGAAACCAGACCTCTCCCTCTCCGTCTAATGTGTACCATCCTTTATCAGGCCTTTAGCATCTCCTAGTCCGTTTTAACCTAATTCCACCAGATGGGAACACACAGAAGCAGAGTGGGGGTCCGGAGGCACAGGCTGCCCTCCAGGGCCCCCTGTGTTCACTGAGTGGCTTAGGACGCCACGGCCCGGAGCGCAGAGCCTCCCATGAAGGTCACAGGCAGGGGGACTGAAGGCAGAGGAGGTGGGGATATGCAGGACCCAGGGGGCAGCGGCACCCAGCATGGTGGCAGAACACCGAGCTTTGGGGTACAAGCACCCCAGGGAGAAAAGGCACAGGGTGGTCCCAGCAGGATCACGGGCTTGGCAAAATGGAAGCACAACAGGCATTTAAGGAAGAGATTCATGAACCTGCAGGTCATGTGTGCAGGGTGGGAAACAGCCGTGTTCTCACGGGGGGTCAGGTCCATAACAGCGGGCAGTCAGCATTTCGGGGTCGCAGAGGACCACACTTTTGTCTCAGGAGTTGCTCAAGGGTTCCTTATGTGTGGGACCTGAATATAGATAGGGTGGTCCTGAGGTTGGTCTTAAAAATCAGACTGAGGAGGGAAGGGAGGAACAGGTCATGGATGGAGGGGTCCCAGGGGCGGAACGGGGCTTCCTTTGTTAACCAGAGAGGCTTGAGCAAACAGAAAGGCTAGGGGACCTGACCCAGGGGCCAGGGAGAGGGAGGCTGAAGGGGAGCAGGGGTGAGGCTGGGAGGGAGTCATTCCCCCGTGCCCTGCTGCCCTTCCACCAGCAGGAGGGGGCACCGGGAAGAAGGGGGACTCCAGGATCCCAGACCCCGATGGGGGTGGGGAGTGGAGTAGGGGATGTCCCCCATCCTTTCCCAAACTCGACTCCCAAAACGGCAGCCAAGTGTCACACACACAAGCACACACAGACCCCACGGTGGGGGTGTCTATGGGAAAGGCCAACAGATACAGACATCTGCAGGCCCCCCAGTGCGGGAGAACTAGACTCACACGCACTGCAGGAAACCCCGTCTCAAGGTGGACATTCGGCCCGGGGCCGCCACACATCCCTCTGCCTCAAAGTGGCAAGTTATAACCCCGACCACCTGGCCAGCCTGAGCCTGAGCCGGGGACCGCAGCAGTCTGGGGAAGTTCTGTTTTTAGATATGAGATGTCTTTGAAGACAGTAAAACAAAAAACAAAAACAAAAACAAGTCTGGAAATAAACTGTCCCTGGACTGGGGCCAGCCTGGCTCCCAAGCCGCTAGAAGCCGTGTGCGCTGTCCTCTGGTGGTCGTTCTCAGGAACTGCACCTGCAGCGGCCGTCCCCAGGACTTGATCTTCAGGCAAGGGCAGAGAATGCAACCCTTTTTCTCGCAAAAACTTTTGACTGTGCCCCTTTGCTCCTGGGGTCAGCAGACAGAGAAGTACGGGGAAAGAACTCTCTGTCCTGAGAGGGCTAGGTCACCGAGGGCCAAAAGAAGGTGACTTCTGAGGTCGTGACCCAAGAGAACTTTGTGACTGGCCAAAGGAGAGCAGAGAAGGGCACACACATGCCTTCCACGCCCAGGAGACTTGATGCTCTCTGCTGCCAGACCCAATGCGGTGGCCCACATGGGTGGTGCAGAAGGCAGCAAGGGACAGCTGTCCCATCAGTGGGCCTGCCAGCAGCTGGGAACATATGACACCCCTCCCCCCCAACTTCCCCACCCCAACCTTGCCCCCACCCCGTCCCTCTGGTCGGCCTTTTACATGGCTCTTTGGACATGTGGGTGACCAGAGCAGCTTCAACTGTTTTCCTGTTTAAATAGATGACACACAAAAATCATTTAAAAAAAGAAGAAGAAGAACAGGAGGGACGCCTGAGTGGCTCAGTTGGTTAAACTTCCGACTCTTGATCTCAGCTCAGGTCTTGATGTCAGAGTGGTGAGATCGAGCCCCGTGTTGGGCTCCGCACTGAGCGTGGAACCGACTTCCCCCCTTTCCTTACCTAAGGCCCAGCTACAGCTCCTTACGTGGTTCACAGCACTGCTGGCATCCAAAGTGCACACCTCCCACTTTCCCTACGTATCTCCTGGGGTTCGGTCCATCTGAGGCCGACCCAGGCTTCTGCTGCTCTGAACAAGGCTCCAGGGACCATTTGTGTGTGTTTGGGTGGGATGTGGCCGGGAATTGAAGTCAGCAAATCCACAGACATCAGGAAAGTGTGTTTTCCACGTTGGTAGCTGGTTCCAGCCCTCAAACTTGTCTCCCCAAACGAGGTGCTCTTGTGAGTCAGGTGGGAGGGGACCCCTGTACTTTCAATCCGCTCTTCCCTTCCTGGGTCAGGGGCTCTGTAAAGCGTGTCCTGGAGGCTGGTCACCAGCACGAGCTGGTCCCCTTGCCCCCAGGAAGCCTCCGATCGCTGGTGGGGGCAGAGGGGCGAAGAGCAGCTGGGACAGCCCCTCCCCCACTCAGGAGCACAGTCCGGGTGTTTACTGTGGCCTCCGAAAGCTACCGAAAACTTAGTGGCCTACAAATAACCCCTTCATCATCTCGCTTGGTTCTGTGGGTTCCTGGGCTCAGCTGGGCAGGTCTGGCGTCTGCCTGGGGTGTTTGTGCAGCCTCAAACAGATGGGGGGCAGGGGCATGGGGGCTCTGATGCTGGGGTGGCCATGCCCCGCCCCTCCCTCAGTCTCAGGGCCCACCCTCCGCACGTGGCATCTCCATGGGGCCCTCCACTGCCCTCTCAGCTGGCCTTCTCACGCGGTGGCCGGGGGCTCCCAGGAGAGCAGAAGCAGGGGCTCCCCGGCCTTCAGAGGGTGCACATGGCTCTGCCGCCTCAGGGAGGCCCGGCCCTGCCCTGATGTGGGGGGCAGGCTGCGGGCAGGCGGCTCTGTGGGGACCATCCATGAATACTCACTGCCAGGTCTCGGTGGTAGAAATGGCACTGAGAACATCTGACTGCGCAGATGTTCGGACTCTGTCCTTGAGCCCGCGCAGCAGCTCATTGTTGCTTCGCACTCTGGTGGCTGGGTGTTGGGTCCCTGATGTGAATACAGACCACCGGCCTCTCCCCTGCGCACCCAGTGGGACGATGCTGTCATAGTGTCCCAGAGGCGAGTAGCAGCAGGTAGGCAGACAGAAAGACCTGGGAGCTGGGAAATGCGGAAGGTCGCCCAGCTCTGTCCTATGCCCTGTTCCTCTTGTCCCTGAGGGCCTCAGTCTCCAGATCTGCAGCACCTACATAGGGTGCCCACTGGGGGGCCCTTGTGGCTGGTATCTGCTCTTGCCATAGGACATAGGCTGGGATGGTACCAGAGCTGGATGGATACATGACCAGACAGGTAATCCTGTCCTGACCTGGGCTTTCCTCCAAGAGGGGGCCTTCCTGGGAAGCGTGCTTGGAGAGGCTTCCCCCTCCTCTGGGCCTCCCTGAGCTCCAGGGAAGGGACAAGGAGGACAGTGCCGCCCAGAGCACCCAGTCTCCCTCTGTAAATGCCTGGTCTCCCCCTATAAGTGTCAGGGGGCACCTGCCAGCCCTGTCACTTTACAAAACTCATGACTCTGAGGAGCGTGTCAGGAGCGGTGTCCTTGTCGCCTCCGTGTGGCCAGCCCTGAGCATTGGCCCCGAGTCCGTCACACCTGCTCCCAGGGACAGCTGTGACTGGGAACAGAGGGACTTTAAATCTGTTTTGTCACCTGCAAAATGGAGTGTCAAATGGGGCAGCCCCTGCAGAAGACAGTCTGGAGGGTCCTCAAAAAACCCAGAGAATTTCCACCTGACTGAGAGATTCCGCACCTAGGCTTACAGTGGAAAACCGAAAACATGCGTCCCCACAAAAACTTATCTGCAAACGTTCATGGCAGCCCTATTCACAACAGCAAATCGCGGCAACAGCCCAAACGTCCATGGGAAGAGGAACAGAGAAAGATGGGTTATGACCTTACAATGGAACATTCTCGGGCTGTAGAAAGGAGTGAAGTCCTGACACGCAGGACGGTGTGGAACAGCCCTGAAATCACACGCAGCTCAAGAAGCCGGACACATACTGTATGATTCCATTCACGGGAAAGATCCAGAATAGGCACATCCTAGAGACAAAGGGGAGAGCCGTGGTGCCAGGGGCTGGGGCAGGGGAGATGTGGAGTGACTGCTAGTGTGTGAGTACACAGTGGCGGAAACGTCTCCCAATCAGATGGCGGCGACGCTTGCATGACCTTGTGAATATACTCAAACCCACCGAGCTGCACCCTTTAGAATGAGGAATGTGATGGCATATGAGCTCTGTCTTATGATCTGAAGGCGGGGTAGTCCCTCCACCTCCACAGGAGCAGGGAATTAGAGGAGATGCTCCCGGAAGTGCTGCTGCCATATAAGGGCTCTGTGGGTGGTCCACATCTTCAGTACATCACATGCCGGGATCTACTCTGGCCCCTCTGTCCTTCCTAGGGCCTAGAGAGGGTCCTGATGCCAGGATCCAGGAGAAATGTCAAGGGCAACGCTTTGGTTCAGGGCTGAGTCTTCCTTCCGCATCCAAACCAGAGGCTCGAGGCCCTGAGAAGTGGCGTGACCAGCACCCCCGTTCCCCAGGGCCCCCCTGCTTTGCTATCCCAACCGCAGAAGCAACCGGACCGGTCTCCCTCTCCAAGCACGCTTCCCCAGGAAGGCCCCCTCTTGGAGGAAAGCCCAGGTCAGGACAGGATTATTGTCTGATCATGTATCTATCCAGCTCTGGTACTGTCCCAGCCCACGTCCTATGGTAAGAGCAGACGCCACAAGGGCCGCCCCAAAGGTGCCCAGCTCTGAGCTCTCAGGAGACAGGCCTACCAGCCTGGGGTCCAGGCGGCTGATTTCCTCCAAAGTCCAGAGAAGGGTCCACACCAGCCAAGCCTCAGGGTGAGGAAGGGAACTAGCTTCTCCAGGAGCCAGACAGATGGACAGCATGCTGGGGCTGGGGGCTCTGTCCGGGGGCATGTGGGTGGCCACGTGGCTTGCCTGGGCCCGGTGAGGGAAAAGAAAGAGGGGACACTTCAGAAAAGGGCCCTAGGCAGTGAAGGGCCTCTCCGGATCTCAGGGCCTCACATCTGTTTTGGGGCGCCCCCAGGGCTGAAGCTGAGCGCCGACCAGTTGGCCCTGGTCTACAGCACGCTGGGGCTCTGCCTGTGTGCAATCGTCTGCTGCTTCCTCCTGGCTGTGGCCTGCTTCCTCAAGAGGAGAGGGGACCAGTTCTCCTGCCAGCCCTCAGCGGCACCATGTCGGACCCAGGCCAAGTCCTCCAAGGGTGAGCGAGAAGTGGGCCGCACACTCCCACTGTTGTGGGACCCGCTGCGGGCTATCCCACTGTCCTGGCACTGGCCCTGTTTCCAAAGGGAGAGCGTGTTGCCGGCCCTTCCTGAGAAACCCTGGGGGGAACTTCCCTGTGGCACTTTTTCTGTCTTGGTGAAATCGGGTTCAACATCAAGACCAGAGATAGGGCACCTGAGGAAGGGTGGGTGTAGGGTGATGGCCAGGGGGGTTGGCAAGGGAGCATGGCTTCCGGGGCTGAAACCTGGAAGAGGCGGTCCCCCTGGGGGTTTGGTAAGAGGTGGGGGTGTGGGGGGAGGTCAGCCAACCTGTCCAGCAGAAGAGGAGCTGGCGCTGGCGCCAGGAGGGGGCGCTGCGCAAGGGGCGCGGACTGGCAGGGCAGTTTACCGTCTGCGGGAACCCTATAACCTGGCCGCCTGTCCCCTCGGTACAGGGCGGTAGAGGAGGAGTCGGGGCCAAGGCCAAAGCCAACGCCATCGCCCTCTCCCTGTCCCGCAGATCACTGGATGGAAGCTGGAAGCGCCGCGGGCTCGCCGCCAGAGCCGGTGGAGACGTGCAGCTTCTGCTTCCCGGAGCGCAGGCAGCCCACCCAGGAGAGCGCGGGCGCGTCCCCAACCCCCGACGCCGCGCCCTCGGGGAGGTGGGGGCGCCTCGGCCGGACCGCGACCGCACAGCCCTGCGCGCGCGCCCCAGATGGCGGCCTTGAGGTCCTGTGCGCGCCCGCCGAGGAGGGAGGCCCCACCGCGTGACACGGAGGAAGGGTGAGATGGAGAGAGGGGCAGGGGTGGAGAGAAGTGGAGAGGGAGGGAGAGAGGTGCCAGGGAAGGAGGCCTGTCATGTCTTTATCCCGTGTCTCCACTGCAGGTCACCGTCACCTACACACCTGCAGTGAAGCCATCCATGCCTGCTGGACAGAGTTCCCGAGAGCCCTTCTTTAGAAATAAAACCTTCCGCGGCTGCCCACTCCTCCCTATCCCTGCTTTTGGTCGTGTCTCCCCTGTGATGCCTCTGGACGTCCCACGTCTCCCGCTGCCTCCCCGGGCTCAGGGCTCCACCGCAAGGCGGCCGCCGGGTTTCCGAGGACCTGCCAGCTGAACGTCCCACCAGGCTCAAGACCCACCCAGCTTGCGGACCTGCGCCTGGTGGGAAGCGGAGGGTACACGGTGGGCGGGGAGTCTGCGGGAGCTTCCGTTTAAGAGCGAAAGCCAGAGTCGGGTGGTCCTCCTGCTGGAGGGCGGGGCTCCCCTGCATTTCTTTTACAAAATAGATTCTCCACCATGCCTCCTTAGGCTTGACGCAGCAGGGGAAAGCCGTGCGCCCTGTGTGTGCATGGGTTTGCACGTGTGTGTGAGTGTGAGTGTGGGTGTGTAGTGGGGCATGAGATAGACAGGACGGGACAGACTGAGCCCAGAGCCCGCAGCTGGTGTGAAAGCCCGAGGCTATCAGCCTGGCCCCCAACAGGAGCGGTTTCCTTTGCAGACACCTCTGGCCCCATCTAGCCACCAACCTGCACTCTTAAGAATCTTTATATGGACTCCCCTTTTCCTCTAGCCCTACTCTGACCTCATGTTAAATTTCATGCGTGTTAACAAGAAGCAGTCATATCTGAGCACCCACCCATTTGAGATGTTATATGTATTTTAGAGTTCTCTTTAGTAGCATCGAAATCCACATTTTAGTCGCACTTAAAATGCATAACGATCCTTAGAAGCATTTACACAGTCAGATAAATACATGGTCAAGTGGAGTAAAATGATTCACCCATTTTACTCCACTTGACCATCTGTGGCACCCAAGATTACCTGGCATAGCGACACGTATCAGAGGTCCACGTAACACACTTCGGGAGGTGTAGACAGGATGCCCGGATGCCATCCACCCACCCTCCGCGGGCTAACAGGCTGCCTCCGGTTTCGGGGCTGCCAGGACAAAGCCGTACACACGGGGTGGTTTCAAGGACAGAAAATCACTGTCTCCTACTTCTCGAGGGGCACCCTCTGAGACCCCGGAGCTAGCGGCGCTGCCTTCTGAGAGCCCTGAGGGACAGATCTGCTCCCAGCCCCTCTCGGCTCAGCCTGCATCTTCTCTCCCTCTGAGTCTGGCCAGGCCCAGTTATGTCCTTTAGGTAAGGACGCCAGTCATATGGGATCAGGGCCCGCCCCCGTGCCTCATTTACCTCCAGCCCTTCTGTAAAGACTCCGTGTTCAAATAAGGTCACATTCCCGGGAGCTGAGGGTTGGGGCTTAACACAGGAATTTGGGGTTTCTAGAGTGTGTCCATCTGTCGCTCAGTTGGCCCCACGTGGCAAATGGTGACACTCTAACAGCGGTGTTTCCTGCCACCAACCCCATGCAAGTAGTTGGGTAAACTTATCCAATGACAGGGTTGTCACTAAAAGGCTGTAACTTGTGTAGGTGTCCCCACACGCTGACAAGGTCATGGCATGTTTGGGAGCCGCCCAGGTGCCGTTTTGACAGGAAGGCTCACCCGGAAGGTGTGCGGGCGTCCAGTTTTCCTGCGGTCCGGCTCTGCCTGTCCAAACCTGGGGACTTTGGGGGATGGTTCTGGTGCTACTGGAGGAGCCAGGACTGCAGAAAATGCCAGGTGCTGAGTGCCCAACCCTGGCAGCTGTCAGACAAAAATCATCTTGGTTTTGGTCGGTTTTGCAATTGCTGTTCGTTGGGATTGTGTGTGTGTGTTTTAAGACAGGGATCCCTTGGGTAGATCGTAAATCAGAAGCTCTAAATACTGTCCATTGTATACATGCTCCGGATAAAGTTCTGTCTCCAACATATATTCTGATTCCTGCCACTTGTCACAGGCTCAGAGCCAGGCTGCGGTCCCTGCTCCCTGGCGTGTGCTCTAGCACCCCCTGGCGGGTCTGTTGCCCCCCTGCTGCCTAGCCTGGGGCTCAGCCAGCTCTGCTGGAAAGGATCAGAAAGTCAGTATCATGGGCCTTGTGGACCATTGGGTTCCCGCTCCGGCGGCCGGACAGTCACTCGGTCCCTGTCTCAGTAGCAGGCAGGGAAGGCTGTGCTCCATAAAATGACTTCCAGAAACAGGGGGCGGGTCTGATTCGAACCATGGGCCATACCTTGCCCACCCCGCCGTACCCCGCCGTTTCCCTATTCATGGCAACACTGATCTTTTTCCTCTCTTCAGCTCTATTGAGATATAGTTGACATGTAACATTGTATAAGTGTACAATGTAAAATGTGATGATTTGATACATTTACAAACGGCAAAACGATGGCCGCTGTAGCATGAGCGAACCCTCCTATCCCATCAGAGAATTTCTGCTCCTTTTGTAGTGAGAACATCTAAGATCGACTCTCTAAGCAACTTTCAAGTAGATAAGACAGTATTATTGCTGTGGTCACCATGTGGTATATTAGATCCTCAGAACGTGTTCATCTTATACTAGGAAGTTTGCACCCTTTGACCAGTATCTCCCCCCGTTTCCTGCCCCCACCCCCCCACCCCCTGCTAACCACCATTCTACTCTCTTTCTCTGAACCTTGATCTTTTTATTTATGCTTCTTAATTTTTTTTTAAAGATTGTATTTATTTGAGAGAGAGAGAGAGAAGTTGCGAGAACGAGTGGGAGTAGGGGGAGAGGGACAGGGAGAAGCACAGGGAGCCCCACACAGGACTCGATCCTGGGATCCTGGGATCATGACCTGAGCTGAAAGCAGACACTTAGCCGACTGAGCTACCCAGGCATCCTATGCCTCTTAAAATTTTTTTAATGGTCCGTCCTTAGGTCATCACAGTCAACCCTCAAATAATAAAATGCCACTTTGCATAGAGCATAAGAACCTTAAAACAGTACACTCCCAACGCCCCCAGCCTCTGTGTTGCCATTCTCATGCATTTTCCTTACATGTTCTGTCAACTCGTTAAACATCACTACTACTTTTGCCTTAGAAGTTCAGTACCTTTGAGAGCAATTAAAAATAAGTAAAGCAATGCCTTTTAAATTGACCTTAATTTCCAGAAACCCTCACTGTTTGGTGTAGAGCCAAGCGTCTGGTAACATGTTCCTTCTGTCTGAAGAACTTCCTTTATTCCTTGTCCTGCAAGTCTGCAGGACATGAATCCTCTCCATTTTTGTTTGTTTGGAAAAGTGTTTATTTCTTTTGCATTTTTTTAAAAGATTTTATTCGTTTATTTGAGAGAGAGAGAGAGCATGAGAGGAGAGAGGTCAGTGGGAGAAGCAGACTCCCTGCCGAGCAGGGAGCCTGATGTGGGACTTGATCCCAGGACTCCAGGATCATGACCTGAGCTGAAGGCAGTTGCTTAACCCACTGAGCCACGCAGGCGCCCTCTTTTGCATTTTTGAAAGATGTTTTTGTTCCTGGGTATAGACTGGGGTTGCCAGTTCTTTCCTTTCAGCATTTTGTTATCCATGGTTTGCAAATTCTCTGACAAGACATCTACTCTGATTCCTCTCTTTGCTCCTTTGTAATCTGTGCCCTCAATTTTTTTCTCCTTTTTCTTACCTTTTTATTTACTTTTTAAAGATTTTATTTGACACAGAGAGAGCAAGCAGGGGGAGTGGCAGAGGGAGAGGGAGAAGCAGGCTCCCTGCAAAACCAAGGAGCCCAAAGCGGGGCTCAATCCCTGGACCCTGAGATCATGACCTAAGCTGAAGTCAGTCGCTTAACCAACTGAGCCACTCAGGTGCCCTTCTTACCTTTTTAGTGGTTAGAATATGTTGTTTCTGGGAGTTTTTGTTGGGCTCAGGGTTTTGGGGGTATTTTGTTTGTTCATTTGTTTTTTAAAAGATTTTATTTATTTGACAGAGAAAGAGAGAGAGATCACAAGTAGGCAGAGAGGGAGGTAGAGAGAGAGGGGGAAGCAGGCTGCTCGCTGAGCAGAGAGCCTGATGTAGAGGTCAATCCCAGGACCCTGAGATCATGACCTGGGCCAAAGGCAGAAGCTTAACCCACTGAGCCACCCAAGCTTCCCTGTTTTTTTTGTTTTAGTTTTGTTTTGAGAGAGAGCGAGAGAGCACATGAGCAGGGGAGGAGGGGCAGAGGGAGTGGGAGACAGAGCATCCCAAGGAGGCTCCAAGCCCAGCACGGAACCCATCATGGGGCTTGATCTCATGCCCGTGAGATCATGATGTGAGCCAAAAACAAGAATTGGATATTTGACCGTGTGAGCCACCCAGGTGCCCTGGGTTAGGTTTGGTTTTTACTTATCCTGCTTGGGGGTCGCTGAGATTTTTTTTTGATCTGTAGCTTGACGTCTTTATTATTTCATTATTTATATATTTCATTATTATAAATAATACAGAAATACTATATATTTATATATAAATATAACTTACATATTTCATTATTTATGCATATGCCATATATATATGGCATATATACATGCCATTCATTATCTCTTCCAAATCTTTGATATTATCCCACAGCTCTGATGCCCTGTTATTTTGTTCGGGTTTCTCCCCCATTCTTTTTTCTCTTTCTGGTTCAGTCTGGGTAAATTCTATTGACCTTCGAGTTCACCGATTCATTCCTCAGCTGTGTTGAGCTTACTGAGGGACTTCGTTTCAATCACATGGGTTTTTCTTCCAGAGTTTCCTTTTGACCCTAATAGCTTCCATCTCTCTGCGGAAGGCCCCCCCCGCCCCATGCCCTTCTCTCCAGGCATGTATCCCACAGTTTCCATGAGCAAATTCAACATGTGAATCCTTTTTTTTTTTAAGATTTTATTTATTTATTTGACAAACAGAGAGATCACAAGCAGGCAGAGAGGCAGGCAGAGAGAGAGGAGGAAGCAGGCTCCCTGCTGAGCAGAGAGCCTAATCCTGTCCTGACCTGGGCTTTCCTCCAAGAGGGGGCCTTCCTGGGAAGCGTGCTTGGAGAGGCTTCCCCCTCCTCTGGGCCTCCCTGAGCTCCAGGGAAGGGACAAGGAGGACAGTGCCGCCCAGAGCACCCAGTCTCCCTCTGTAAATGCCTGGTCTCCCCCTATAAGTGTCAGGGGGCACCTGCCAGCCCTGTCACTTTACAAAACTCATGACTCTGAGGAGCGTGTCAGGAGCGGTGTCCTTGTCGCCTCCGTGTGGCCAGCCCTGAGCATTGGCCCCGAGTCCGTCACACCTGCTCCCAGGGACAGCTGTGACTGGGAACAGAGGGACTTTAAATCTGTTTTGTCACCTGCAAAATGGAGTGTCAAATGGGGCAGCCCCTGCAGAAGACAGTCTGGAGGGTCCTCAAAAAACCCAGAGAATTTCCACCTGACTGAGAGATTCCGCACCTAGGCTTACAGTGGAAAACCGAAAACATGCGTCCCCACAAAAACTTATCTGCAAACGTTCATGGCAGCCCTATTCACAACAGCAAATCGCGGCAACAGCCCAAACGTCCATGGGAAGAGGAACAGAGAAAGATGGGTTATGACCTTACAATGGAACATTCTCGGGCTGTAGAAAGGAGTGAAGTCCTGACACGCAGGACGGTGTGGAACAGCCCTGAAATCACACGCAGCTCAAGAAGCCGGACACATACTGTATGATTCCATTCACGGGAAAGATCCAGAATAGGCACATCCTAGAGACAAAGGGGAGAGCCGTGGTGCCAGGGGCTGGGGCAGGGGAGATGTGGAGTGACTGCTAGTGTGTGAGTACACAGTGGCGGAAACGTCTCCCAATCAGATGGCGGCGACGCTTGCATGACCTTGTGAATATACTCAAACCCACCGAGCTGCACCCTTTAGAATGAGGAATGTGATGGCATATGAGCTCTGTCTTATGATCTGAAGGCGGGGTAGTCCCTCCACCTCCACAGGAGCAGGGAATTAGAGGAGATGCTCCCGGAAGTGCTGCTGCCATATAAGGGCTCTGTGGGTGGTCCACATCTTCAGTACATCACATGCCGGGATCTACTCTGGCCCCTCTGTCCTTCCTAGGGCCTAGAGAGGGTCCTGATGCCAGGATCCAGGAGAAATGTCAAGGGCAACGCTTTGGTTCAGGGCTGAGTCTTCCTTCCGCATCCAAACCAGAGGCTCGAGGCCCTGAGAAGTGGCGTGACCAGCACCCCCGTTCCCCAGGGCCCCCCTGCTTTGCTATCCCAACCGCAGAAGCAACCGGACCGGTCTCCCTCTCCAAGCACGCTTCCCCAGGAAGGCCCCCTCTTGGAGGAAAGCCCAGGTCAGGACAGGATTATTGTCTGATCATGTATCTATCCAGCTCTGGTACTGTCCCAGCCCACGTCCTATGGTAAGAGCAGACGCCACAAGGGCCGCCCCAAAGGTGCCCAGCTCTGAGCTCTCAGGAGACAGGCCTACCAGCCTGGGGTCCAGGCGGCTGATTTCCTCCAAAGTCCAGAGAAGGGTCCACACCAGCCAAGCCTCAGGGTGAGGAAGGGAACTAGCTTCTCCAGGAGCCAGACAGATGGACAGCATGCTGGGGCTGGGGGCTCTGTCCGGGGGCATGTGGGTGGCCACGTGGCTTGCCTGGGCCCGGTGAGGGAAAAGAAAGAGGGGACACTTCAGAAAAGGGCCCTAGGCAGTGAAGGGCCTCTCCGGATCTCAGGGCCTCACATCTGTTTTGGGGCGCCCCCAGGGCTGAAGCTGAGCGCCGACCAGTTGGCCCTGGTCTACAGCACGCTGGGGCTCTGCCTGTGTGCAATCGTCTGCTGCTTCCTCCTGGCTGTGGCCTGCTTCCTCAAGAGGAGAGGGGACCAGTTCTCCTGCCAGCCCTCAGCGGCACCATGTCGGACCCAGGCCAAGTCCTCCAAGGGTGAGCGAGAAGTGGGCCGCACACTCCCACTGTTGTGGGACCCGCTGCGGGCTATCCCACTGTCCTGGCACTGGCCCTGTTTCCAAAGGGAGAGCGTGTTGCCGGCCCTTCCTGAGAAACCCTGGGGGGAACTTCCCTGTGGCACTTTTTCTGTCTTGGTGAAATCGGGTTCAACATCAAGACCAGAGATAGGGCACCTGAGGAAGGGTGGGTGTAGGGTGATGGCCAGGGGGGTTGGCAAGGGAGCATGGCTTCCGGGGCTGAAACCTGGAAGAGGCGGTCCCCCTGGGGGTTTGGTAAGAGGTGGGGGTGTGGGGGGAGGTCAGCCAACCTGTCCAGCAGAAGAGGAGCTGGCGCTGGCGCCAGGAGGGGGCGCTGCGCAAGGGGCGCGGACTGGCAGGGCAGTTTACCGTCTGCGGGAACCCTATAACCTGGCCGCCTGTCCCCTCGGTACAGGGCGGTAGAGGAGGAGTCGGGGCCAAGGCCAAAGCCAACGCCATCGCCCTCTCCCTGTCCCGCAGATCACTGGATGGAAGCTGGAAGCGCCGCGGGCTCGCCGCCAGAGCCGGTGGAGACGTGCAGCTTCTGCTTCCCGGAGCGCAGGCAGCCCACCCAGGAGAGCGCGGGCGCGTCCCCAACCCCCGACGCCGCGCCCTCGGGGAGGTGGGGGCGCCTCGGCCGGACCGCGACCGCACAGCCCTGCGCGCGCGCCCCAGATGGCGGCCTTGAGGTCCTGTGCGCGCCCGCCGAGGAGGGAGGCCCCACCGCGTGACACGGAGGAAGGGTGAGATGGAGAGAGGGGCAGGGGTGGAGAGAAGTGGAGAGGGAGGGAGAGAGGTGCCAGGGAAGGAGGCCTGTCATGTCTTTATCCCGTGTCTCCACTGCAGGTCACCGTCACCTACACACCTGCAGTGAAGCCATCCATGCCTGCTGGACAGAGTTCCCGAGAGCCCTTCTTTAGAAATAAAACCTTCCGCGGCTGCCCACTCCTCCCTATCCCTGCTTTTGGTCGTGTCTCCCCTGTGATGCCTCTGGACGTCCCACGTCTCCCGCTGCCTCCCCGGGCTCAGGGCTCCACCGCAAGGCGGCCGCCGGGTTTCCGAGGACCTGCCAGCTGAACGTCCCACCAGGCTCAAGACCCACCCAGCTTGCGGACCTGCGCCTGGTGGGAAGCGGAGGGTACACGGTGGGCGGGGAGTCTGCGGGAGCTTCCGTTTAAGAGCGAAAGCCAGAGTCGGGTGGTCCTCCTGCTGGAGGGCGGGGCTCCCCTGCATTTCTTTTACAAAATAGATTCTCCACCATGCCTCCTTAGGCTTGACGCAGCAGGGGAAAGCCGTGCGCCCTGTGTGTGCATGGGTTTGCACGTGTGTGTGAGTGTGAGTGTGGGTGTGTAGTGGGGCATGAGATAGACAGGACGGGACAGACTGAGCCCAGAGCCCGCAGCTGGTGTGAAAGCCCGAGGCTATCAGCCTGGCCCCCAACAGGAGCGGTTTCCTTTGCAGACACCTCTGGCCCCATCTAGCCACCAACCTGCACTCTTAAGAATCTTTATATGGACTCCCCTTTTCCTCTAGCCCTACTCTGACCTCATGTTAAATTTCATGCGTGTTAACAAGAAGCAGTCATATCTGAGCACCCACCCATTTGAGATGTTATATGTATTTTAGAGTTCTCTTTAGTAGCATCGAAATCCACATTTTAGTCGCACTTAAAATGCATAACGATCCTTAGAAGCATTTACACAGTCAGATAAATACATGGTCAAGTGGAGTAAAATGATTCACCCATTTTACTCCACTTGACCATCTGTGGCACCCAAGATTACCTGGCATAGCGACACGTATCAGAGGTCCACGTAACACACTTCGGGAGGTGTAGACAGGATGCCCGGATGCCATCCACCCACCCTCCGCGGGCTAACAGGCTGCCTCCGGTTTCGGGGCTGCCAGGACAAAGCCGTACACACGGGGTGGTTTCAAGGACAGAAAATCACTGTCTCCTACTTCTCGAGGGGCACCCTCTGAGACCCCGGAGCTAGCGGCGCTGCCTTCTGAGAGCCCTGAGGGACAGATCTGCTCCCAGCCCCTCTCGGCTCAGCCTGCATCTTCTCTCCCTCTGAGTCTGGCCAGGCCCAGTTATGTCCTTTAGGTAAGGACGCCAGTCATATGGGATCAGGGCCCGCCCCTGTGCCTCATTTACCTCCAGCCCTTCTGTAAAGACTCCGTGTTCAAATAAGGTCACATTCCCGGGAGCTGAGGGTTGGGGCTTAACACAGGAATTTGGGGTTTCTAGAGTGTGTCCATCTGTCGCTCAGTTGGCCCCACGTGGCAAATGGTGACACTCTAACAGCGGTGTTTCCTGCCACCAACCCCATGCAAGTAGTTGGGTAAACTTATCCAATGACAGGGTTGTCACTAAAAGGCTGTAACTTGTGTAGGTGTCCCCACACGCTGACAAGGTCATGGCATGTTTGGGAGCCGCCCAGGTGCCGTTTTGACAGGAAGGCTCACCCGGAAGGTGTGCGGGCGTCCAGTTTTCCTGCGGTCCGGCTCTGCCTGTCCAAACCTGGGGACTTTGGGGGATGGTTCTGGTGCTACTGGAGGAGCCAGGACTGCAGAAAATGCCAGGTGCTGAGTGCCCAACCCTGGCAGCTGTCAGACAAAAATCATCTTGGTTTTGGTCGGTTTTGCAATTGCTGTTCGTTGGGATTGTGTGTGTGTGTTTTAAGACAGGGATCCCTTGGGTAGATCGTAAATCAGAAGCTCTAAATACTGTCCATTGTATACATGCTCCGGATAAAGTTCTGTCTCCAACATATATTCTGATTCCTGCCACTTGTCACAGGCTCAGAGCCAGGCTGCGGTCCCTGCTCCCTGGCGTGTGCTCTAGCACCCCCTGGCGGGTCTGTTGCCCCCCTGCTGCCTAGCCTGGGGCTCAGCCAGCTCTGCTGGAAAGGATCAGAAAGTCAGTATCATGGGCCTTGTGGACCATTGGGTTCCCGCTCCGGCGGCCGGACAGTCACTCGGTCCCTGTCTCAGTAGCAGGCAGGGAAGGCTGTGCTCCATAAAATGACTTCCAGAAACAGGGGGCGGGTCTGATTCGAACCATGGGCCATACCTTGCCCACCCCGCCGTACCCCGCCGTTTCCCTATTCATGGCAACACTGATCTTTTTCCTCTCTTCAGCTCTATTGAGATATAGTTGACATGTAACATTGTATAAGTGTACAATGTAAAATGTGATGATTTGATACATTTACAAACGGCAAAACGATGGCCGCTGTAGCATGAGCGAACCCTCCTATCCCATCAGAGAATTTCTGCTCCTTTTGTAGTGAGAACATCTAAGATCGACTCTCTAAGCAACTTTCAAGTAGATAAGACAGTATTATTGCTGTGGTCACCATGTGGTATATTAGATCCTCAGAACGTGTTCATCTTATACTAGGAAGTTTGCACCCTTTGACCAGTATCTCCCCCCGTTTCCTGCCCCCCCCCCCCCCCCCCCTGCTAACCACCATTCTACTCTCTTTCTCTGAACCTTGATCTTTTTATTTATGCTTCTTAATTTTTTTTTAAAGATTGTATTTATTTGAGAGAGAGAGAGAGAAGTTGCGAGAACGAGTGGGAGTAGGGGGAGAGGGACAGGGAGAAGCACAGGGAGCCCCACACAGGACTCGATCCTGGGATCCTGGGATCATGACCTGAGCTGAAAGCAGACACTTAGCCGACTGAGCTACCCAGGCATCCTATGCCTCTTAAAATTTTTTTAATGGTCCGTCCTTAGGTCATCACAGTCAACCCTCAAATAATAAAATGCCACTTTGCATAGAGCATAAGAACCTTAAAACAGTACACTCCCAACGCCCCCAGCCTCTGTGTTGCCATTCTCATGCATTTTCCTTACACGTTCTGTCAACTCGTTAAACATCACTACTACTTTTGCCTTAGAAGTTCAGTACCTTTGAGAGCAATTAAAAATAAGTAAAGCAATGCCTTTTAAATTGACCTTAATTTCCAGAAACCCTCACTGTTTGGTGTAGAGCCAAGCGTCTGGTAACATGTTCCTTCTGTCTGAAGAACTTCCTTTATTCCTTGTCCTGCAAGTCTGCAGGACATGAATCCTCTCCATTTTTGTTTGTTTGGAAAAGTGTTTATTTCTTTTGCATTTTTTTAAAAGATTTTATTCGTTTATTTGAGAGAGAGAGAGAGCATGAGAGGAGAGAGGTCAGTGGGAGAAGCAGACTCCCTGCCGAGCAGGGAGCCTGATGTGGGACTTGATCCCAGGACTCCAGGATCATGACCTGAGCTGAAGGCAGTTGCTTAACCCACTGAGCCACGCAGGCGCCCTCTTTTGCATTTTTGAAAGATGTTTTTGTTCCTGGGTATAGACTGGGGTTGCCAGTTCTTTCCTTTCAGCATTTTGTTATCCATGGTTTGCAAATTCTCTGACAAGACATCTACTCTGATTCCTCTCTTTGCTCCTTTGTAATCTGTGCCCTCAATTTTTTTCTCCTTTTTCTTACCTTTTTATTTACTTTTTAAAGATTTTATTTGACACAGAGAGAGCAAGCAGGGGGAGTGGCAGAGGGAGAGGGAGAAGCAGGCTCCCTGCAAAACCAAGGAGCCCAAAGCGGGGCTCAATCCCTGGACCCTGAGATCATGACCTAAGCTGAAGTCAGTCGCTTAACCAACTGAGCCACTCAGGTGCCCTTCTTACCTTTTTAGTGGTTAGAATATGTTGTTTCTGGGAGTTTTTGTTGGGCTCAGGGTTTTGGGGGTATTTTGTTTGTTCATTTGTTTTTTAAAAGATTTTATTTATTTGACAGAGAAAGAGAGAGAGATCACAAGTAGGCAGAGAGGGAGGTAGAGAGAGAGGGGGAAGCAGGCTGCTCGCTGAGCAGAGAGCCTGATGTAGAGGTCAATCCCAGGACCCTGAGATCATGACCTGGGCCAAAGGCAGAAGCTTAACCCACTGAGCCACCCAAGCTTCCCTGTTTTTTTTGTTTTAGTTTTGTTTTGAGAGAGAGCGAGAGAGCACATGAGCAGGGGAGGAGGGGCAGAGGGAGTGGGAGACAGAGCATCCCAAGGAGGCTCCAAGCCCAGCACGGAACCCATCATGGGGCTTGATCTCATGCCCGTGAGATCATGATGTGAGCCAAAAACAAGAATTGGATATTTGACCGTGTGAGCCACCCAGGTGCCCTGGGTTAGGTTTGGTTTTTACTTATCCTGCTTGGGGGTCGCTGAGATTTTTTTTTGATCTGTAGCTTGACGTCTTTATTATTTCATTATTTATATATTTCATTATTATAAATAATACAGAAATACTATATATTTATATATAAATATAACTTACATATTTCATTATTTATGCATATGCCATATATATATGGCATATATACATGCCATTCATTATCTCTTCCAAATCTTTGATATTATCCCACAGCTCTGATGCCCTGTTATTTTGTTCGGGTTTCTCCCCCATTCTTTTTTCTCTTTCTGGTTCAGTCTGGGTAAATTCTATTGACCTTCGAGTTCACCGATTCATTCCTCAGCTGTGTTGAGCTTACTGAGGGACTTCGTTTCAATCACATGGGTTTTTCTTCCAGAGTTTCCTTTTGACCCTAATAGCTTCCATCTCTCTGCGGAAGGCCCCCCCCGCCCCATGCCCTTCTCTCCAGGCATGTATCCCACAGTTTCCATGAGCAAATTCAACATGTGAATCCTTTTTTTTTTTAAGATTTTATTTATTTATTTGACAAACAGAGAGATCACAAGCAGGCAGAGAGGCAGGCAGAGAGAGAGGAGGAAGCAGGCTCCCTGCTGAGCAGAGAGCCCAATGCGGGGCTCGATCCCAGGACCCTGAGATCATGACCTGAGGCGAATGCAGAGGTGTAACCTACTGAGCCACCCAGATGCCCCTCAACATACGAATCTTAATTCTTGAACAATTCCTGCCTAATAGTTTCAACATCCAGATCACTTCTGACTCTGGCTCTGAGGAGGGATTTGTCTCTTGGCACCGGGTTTCGCCTTGTAATCTTTCTAACGAATGCCAGGTCTGCATGGGACAGTAGGCAGACTGAAGGAAGAGGGGTGTGTGCGGGGACATGGCATGCCTGCTCTCCTCCAGGCTGTCAGGGTGAGGGGTCGGGTCGACCAAGCTGTGAGTGGAGCTGGGTTCAGGTTTTGCTGCTGTGCGCTCACCTTTTGTGCCGTGCTGGTTTCAAGTGCCCTGGGGTTACCATCTTCTTGGTAGCAGGGGTCCTGGGTTTGTAATATTCCTGCTACCCCCTCAGCTTTCTACCATCCCTGCATGCCTCCGCCTAAGATTTGTTAGGGGCAAAGAGTCTGGAGGGGGCTGGGGACACTTCCAGCAGCCGGGGCCCTATGTGGGCACCTCTGAGGGAGGCTTCCTGCAGCCTCTGCTCTGTGCCCGATATTTTTA